GTAGCTCAGCTGGTTCGGCAGTTCAGGCAGCCAGTGTCGGGTAGCCCCTTCTGAAATGCTTTCCTTTTCAGCATTGTAGGTTTAATACCCAGTGTACAAGACCAGACTGCACTTTCTACCACCCCACTGTTGCTGTACCTCCACGGCATGCCTTGAAATGGACTCGAACTCAAGCCAGGTGAGCGACACTCTAAACCTATTACGGAAAAATATTTGATATCCCTACTGTAGTTTTACTCACAGAAGTAATGTGTGTGTGATGAACTGTGTGAATAATAGGCATCTTTCTTTAAAGGACAACTCTTTTCTGTTTGGTTTTAGTAATACAGACATTAACTAATGTATTGCAATCCTGATAAACAAGTGCCCTGCAGCTAAGATAGGGCAGAGTCACTGGAATCGTGACCTGGATATGTTTTGTTTCCTGATTTTTATTTGAATAAAGCTGAAAATCTAACATCAGCTCTTCGTTTACCATTGTTTTATCTTGTGTCCAAGCTGTCTTGTCTTTGAGTGTTTCTGGCAGAGCAGCTCGTTTCTGTCATTTGTCCATGTTTTGATAAATTAGTAGCAAACTTCCCAAAGCTGCAGCTATGGGCCTGTCTTTAAGATCATCAGGTCACACGAGCCTTTCACTCCAGCTGCTCTTGTCTGCACAGGTTTCAGCCACTACAGGAGTAGGGCACAGATAGTTCTCAAATCATCTTTACAGGGCGGTAGAATTGTTACTTATGGGAATCGTTTTTCTCTTCTCCCTCAGTGAATGAATATGATACAACCTGGGACTGAGCTTTGCTTCCTCTGGACAGTAGTGGAAAGGAAAATTAACCACCAGGGTACAGGATGCTAGAAAAGATTCATGCATTTTGGACTTTGAATATACATTGTTTTCATAAAACAAGGTTGATTGCATACTTGAAATGTCTCTAATTTTCCAAGTTTGTAAGTTTGAGCAATTTTACATTTTTTTTACACTGTAACAAGAAAACGTCTGTGTAAGAAAAGTTTTACTTTAAATTCCATTAAAAACCTTCAAAGCACATTTTGTGTTCTGTTTGGGTAATGTTCCTTGTTTAAGATAAGGTGTGTTGAAGAAGAAAGTGTGTCAGCAGAAAGGCTTAGAAAGCTTGTTCCTGAATTGGGATCATACCAGAAGTACTTTTTGTTCAGCAGGTGTCTGGTACAATGCACAAAACTGCTCTGCTGTTCCAGCACCAGCACTGAAATCTCCACCTCAGCACAGGGTAAAAGAGCAAATGCTTTGTCTTTTAGGTGTTTTTCAGCACAGCAGACATCATAGCCCTTCCACTCTCTGAAAGAGAAGACAAGGGAAACAAACTGCTTCATAAACCAGAACAATTAGAGATTATTGCTACTGTGCTCCATTCAAGTGAAGTACCACTTCACTTGAAAATAAATGCTCTCAGATGTCTCCATTTATACCAGGAAGAAAGAAGATACCATTTTGAATCTCCTTTTGAAGAATCCTTTTTTCCTACTGGGCACATTCTGTAATTTTCTCCTTCAAGAAAGTTGCTGTGCCTTATGGCAAAAAAATAATCCACACACATGCCCATATATGGTATTAAAATATGGTGGTATTAAAATGATGAAAAGTGCTGAACAGTAACATAAATGCACTTTTTTATTAAATCCTTTTTCTCTTTTGGGGAACTACATTTGCACAAAAATATACAAAAGAATTTCTTTTTACAAATATTTACATTCAGTATCAGAAAACAATGTTAGCTACATATTTTAAACTTAAATTTGACAAATATATTCTTGAATTCTGAAACTTAACACTCCAGGAAAGTATTTTTTAAATTTTTTTTTTAAATAAAGTACTCAAAGTTCATATTCAAATTTAAAAAAATCTTAATTAATGCAAAAATCTGACATTTAATCTATGTATATGTATATATATGTATAGATATATATATATACTTTAAATAAACATACAACATTGTTACAGGAATTAGATGTTCATGGTGGAAACCAAAATGGAGTACAGTTAAACCCATGATCCTTATCACAATAATACATGACCAGACCTTTGGACTAGTTTAAAATACCTTTTTTTTTTTTTTTTTTGGTAAAGCAAGAGGGATTATCTGACACACTCCATAATGAAACAACAAATCTGAACAGACAACTGGATTTTAAGCTTAAAGACCTACAGTAAAATACTTTCCTAAGGTGACCTGACGGGGGAGTGAAGGAGGAGAGGATGGGCTCTGGTGTTGTAGGGAGCACTGGAATAGATTTCCAGGTGAAAGACTGCAAAGAACATCATTTTCTTACAACATTTCCCAATGCCTTCATCAGCTGTCCCTTGCAGAAATAGCTGCCACCATGAAGCTGTTTTCTGTGTGAGATGAGGAGACAATAATTTGTAAGGGCAGCAGAAGACCAGAACCACCTCCATGGCTGCACTTCATCTGTGCTGGGTTATACCTGACTGCACAGTGTCCAGCGTGAGAAAAGGAGCTGCTGCTTTTTCTCTGCTAAAAAGTAGTGAATTAAAATCCACAAAGCTAAAAGTGTTTTGTTGTTTTTTTGGTGTTTTTTTTAAGTGAACAGTTCTAGTGCATTTACTTAGTTCGTTACATTATTTCAAGTTACCATTGTGGTCTTGAGCGTATTCTAATGTGAAATTTTACATTAAAAATGCCTTTACTTTCTTCACAAATCAGTAATGCAGCTTTTCCATTGCTTAATATACTATGCTGTATACCCATAACTGAACTAAAAAGCAGAAACAAAGCTTATAATTACCAGATACCTCTTAAAACAAACAAACAAACGAGCTATTTCACACCAGAAACCACAACACCATGGTATGCAGTAGCAAGTAAAGGAAAAATAGACCAGAAGTGCGTAAAGTACTACCCAACAGCACCAACATTTCACAAAAGTACAGGAAACCATTTTAATTTCATGCAATTTGTGCCTGTGTTCATGCTTGGTGTTTCCTTAGAAAGGGTATTTACTGGATTCCCAAAGAATACACGGTAGAGCGTGTCCTGGGTGCAACTGGTGGTTGAAAAAATCATGGCATTACGGCACTACCACTTCCAGCTCCACTGCATGGAAAGATCCCCCCTCCTCCCCAGTCACAAGAATTTGCAACTAAGAGAATAGAAAATTAATTTTCAGCAACATAATGCTTGGTATTGGCTTTGGAAAGCACCCCAGTAAAAGCAAAGCTGTGGTAAAAGCCGACCTCTCTCAGCCTCTCCATTTGGCAGCTGGGAGAGGGGAGTTGGGATAAGGGCTTCTGTGGGAAGAAAGAAGAGTAGTAATAGCCAGAGCTAATGGATGAGTAATTAGAGAATATTACATGAACAGGGTTTTTTTGTTTTTTTTAAAGGCTTATAATCCTGCAGAAGACTGAAACTAAAATAGCCCCTTACTACAGCCCTTCTGAACCCACCAATGCAACACCTGTTTCAATAATATACATTTTTTCCCTTAAGCCCTCGTCTTTTCCCCCGTTCTTTTACAAGTGTAGAATGGTGTGAATCACACACATCTTTACATCACTGGAACAAACATGACAATAATTTGGGGGATATCTTTAAACACAAAGGACATTTGAGGTTTGTTGGGTTTGGTTTGGGGTTTTTTATTTGTTTGTTGTTTTTCAATAAGCTCTCACATGACATCTGTGCCCAAACTGAGCCAGATAGATATGTGTTGCTAAGGGCAAAATCACTTTGTAGGGTCTTGGAGTTATCCCACAGACAGCAACAGAAACTCAGGAAACTCATATTTTGCCTTATGGAAGAGAAATCCAAAAATACCAAGTGTAGAATACCCCGCCTCTCACGTCCTAAACTCAACTGCCCTCCAGCAGGTAAAGAAGGATCAGTCCAGCTATTCATGCACAGATTTTGTGCTTCTTACAAAGAGTTGCTACGGGTAAAGGTCCAGAAGAACTCTACTGACTTATTCCTACTCAGATATCTTTGTGGGCCTACATTACATTCACCTGACTTTGTATATGGAGTTCCATGGCAAGGAACCACCAAAGGAAAATTCAGCTCGTGTATGATCTGAATTGCCCTCTGCAGAGACCTCTCTCTGTCACACTTCGAGTTAAATGTAATAGAGGCCACAGCTTCAATGTCTGTCCTCTTAAATATTGTGAATGCCTGAGAACGGAACCAAGAACTGATGAATTACGTTTCAGTAGGAAAGAAATAATAGAGGCAGTAATTGATACAGTTTGGTTATGAAGAGTTTTCTGTATAATATTTCTTTGGTTTAATATTTTTTGTTTAAAGAACATATTTCAGAAGAGGCCTATTAAAATAATCCATATTTGGTCAAGGTGGAAAGATGAGTAGCATTTTAAAATACATCTTAAACTCTTCTACCTGAGCTCTCAGTACAGAGCACTTTTATCTTTGTAAGTACTTTCTTTGTTCCAACATGCATCCACTGCCACTGTGGGTGATCTGCAGTAGCTGCTGAACCTCAGCACTGAACAGGTGTCCCATAGGAATGGGAGTGGAGAGAGCAGTGAATGGGAGTGGCTGCATCATCCCCAAAACAGAGCAACCAAGGTTGCCTACAGCCTGAGCTGTCTGCTGCTCTCCTTGCACTTACCAAGCAGCCACTGAATACTTTCCATTTGAAACAAGATCTTTGCCACCCACCACCAGCCATATCACTTCTTTGGTCTTGCCTTTGCCTATTTATGAGTGTGCTTTCTTCTGCTTTCCTTTCTTTTGCCTTTTCTCCATTATTATGATTTCTGGTTTCCTGTTACTGTTTCCTCCACCTTATGTTCCATAATTCCAAAAAGATGTGGAAATTATAAGAATTGTGGAAATTATAAGAATTGCCTATTGTAACTGTGCTTACACCTTTTGTTGTTGTTTTAAACTGGGGAGTGGGGAAGAGAGCACGTGTTGTGTGACTTCCCTTTTTTTCTCTTCCTTTCCAAAAAAGTACTGAATGGGTCGGATTTCTGGTTCCACAGTCAACCAAAAAAGACAGGTGAAGGTATCAAGATTGTGACTGGCTTGCTGTTACTAAACTGAGAAAGGGATAGCAAGCATTTACCTGTTCTAGTATCAAGTAGTCTGGACAAAACCCACCTAGTACTTCTTAGTTACAAATTATTTTGGCAAGGAAACCCATTGTGGCTTTTATACATATTATACACCTAAAACTATTCTTTTTTTTTTTTTTTCCTAAAAGGAGATATGCAGAGTTCAAATCTGAAGTCAAAGTTAATTGAAGAGCAAAGCTGGGGGCAGTGACAGAAATGGGCTTGGTCTAACCACACCACAGTGATTGGTATAAAGAATGACAGCAGTCTTTGGCAAGCACATGGAATTATCCACATGAGCAAAAATCAAATGATGCTAAAAACTTCAGGACATCAGAGCAGATTGCAAGGAAGCATAAAAAAAACAGAACAAAAAACCATACAAACGCAATACAACTAGGGATGTTTACATCACTGACACGGCAATATATTTTGTGACTTGCAGTCTTACTTCGCTTTCTGTGGAGTCTATAGGATGCTCCACTGTGTCCAAAACACTGACAACATCTGTCTATAGCTTATGCTAACAGAATTTAAAAAAAGAAAAATCTTGAAGGATTAAGGCTTGTCACATCCATGTCACTGACAATGAGATAGGGAACATGTCACCTCGCCCATTTAAGCACTGCATTTGAATCCAAGATCCTTTGCTTGTCACACCACTACACCACACACAGCAAGTCCAATATGGGACTTCAGTGCCCGGCTCCGGAGTCACCCCCATGTGCACGTGGAGCCTCGGGCGCTGCTGGTGCAACCCAGAGAGCGGGTGAGGTGCTGTGCAGGCAGGGGCTCAAGGCTTGTTGAAGGGCACTGTGTGTCTTGGCAAACTTGCAAGTCAAACAGCGGGGTTGGGGTGGTTTAGCAGCAGCTGAAAGAAGTGGATCACAGTTTTCAACTAAGCCACTCCTGCATGCTATCATAGTCCTGCTCTTGGTGTTGAAGTCCTTTATTTCAGTCTAGTTTCTAGACTGGGGAGACAACCCCTCTGCAGTGTGCCTGCTTTCTGATGGTAGGTCAGCATTAACCTGGACTTGCATGAAGTTCAGTTACGCTGCAAATAATTTGCTAACACTGAAACACTGATATAGACTAAAGGTCCCAAAGATGTATGTTTGCCACTAACAAAAAAAAAAAAAAAAAGCTACAGGACAAAATCATCTGCTATGAATGATTAAATTATAAAAGAACTTTCGCCTCCCCTTCCCTGAAGTTGTATACTTCACAGAAGAAGTTTTCTTCAGCTTCAGGTAGAGCCATCCTGCCCACAGTTCTCTCTCATGCTTTCAAACTAAAGTTTGTCACTACTCCCTCCACATTCCAGCTTCTTCCCTGACCTATCCTTCAGGATTCTGTCATCCTCTGACTTTTCTGTGGAACCAGCCTTGAGCTCCCTCTGCCTGTTGGAACAGACAGTCTGTTCCCACATACACATGCTTCCAGCACAGGTGGCAACAACAAGCAAGTTACTACAGTAGCACTTTATGTAAACAGCAAATGAGGCACAGTAGCAAAGCACCATCACAGACAAGAAGACCAAAAAGACCACAAAACTGCCAACTTTGACCACACTTACAGCCAGCTCTTCCCTTCAGCACCTACAAAATATGCTCCAAACTGTCCTCAGGAAGAAAGCTGCAACTGAGGCTCTACTCACTCCTCAACATTTGTGATTGTTCCAAGCTGGCTGATCCCATTTTACCTGGCAAACCACTGAGCAGTTTTGCCAGGGAAAACACTAGCTACCAATTTGGGCTGCAATAGGAGGAACAATGCTGGTAGTTTAGTTTTTTAAGAGCTCCTCAGCTTCCAGCTCCCATCTCAGCCCTTTACAGAAGCGGTGAGGTTTGGAAGAGAGTGGAGAAGCAGAAGATCTGGAGGCTCAGCCCATCAGCCTTGCAGCTCCCAGGGCAGCCCTGCTGCAATTCACCCACCCGATTCTTGTTCATCTTTCACCTCTGGCATGGCCTTGGGGATTCCTCAGGGCAAAAGCACCAATGGACAAATCATCAGTGGAGAGGCACAGCATTAATGAAGGGGGAGGGGGAGCGAGGAGAAGAGGACCAGTGACAGGGATCTGAGAAACAAACCCTCTCGATCCACATACCTCCTTCACTGGGTGAAGGCCTATGGAAGAGCTCATTAAGTGTAGGATTTTGAGGGGAAAACTCAGAGACAGAAAAATATGGACTTTGATCTGGCAGTCTGAGTAGGACAGACTATGAGGGAGCTCTTAACAGTCATCCATCATGAGCCAATGAAAGGCAACTTTAAAGTAGAGGCAGGACAAATCTTACTTCAAGTCAAGAAGTCCTGCAGAGACATGTTTAATAAGGGATAGAATCACAGCCATAGAATAGCACTCTGCAACCTATTTGCCTGGTATAGATAAGATTTAAATGCCAGAGACTAATTTTCATATAAAACAGGCAGGCAGGAAACTAGGTTATGAGACAGATTAGGTCTAATCTGAATTCTTATATGTAATTCCCCTAAAGTAAAATATGTTACCAGCAAGATCTCCCTGTACACTCATGACCAAATCCACACAGTGTTTGCTCCTGTAGAATAGCAGCTGCATGACTGGCAAGACTTTGCTAAGAACCATCATGCTGAGAAACCTGATAACTCTTTAGTTCATAAAATTCTTCAAAATAAATATTTGTTATAGCTTGATATATAAAATATATTACCTAAGACAGTTGGGTAACTAGGTTTGTATAGCACATAACAAGCCTTTTTGGACCTAGGAGAGCATAGAGGTTTGGCTCAGTGACTTTTCTCTGTCTTTTCTACCTGCAAGCCCTCCCATTCCCTCTGTAACCACCATGCACACAAGATGCTCAGAAGGAGAGATGAGGTTTGTTTCTTTTTTACTAACGTCTGGCACAAAAAAATGCAAGAGATTAATAATATCAAAGCCTACTGACAAACCTAAAGAAGTGCCAGTGCCAAAGCAATGCTGGCTTACACAGAGAAAGAGAGCTGTATGGTCACAGCAGAATACCATAATGAGAGCAGTGCTGATAATTAGTGACTTTGTTCCCGGCTATGTTGCATGAAAATTAACTGTCTGTAATGCATCTTTGTGACATGATTTAGACAAACAGCTGATGAAATCTTCCTCACTTGTACCCAAAACGTAGCTTTGTTCAGGTTTTTTTTTATCATTTAAATGTTTTTCCAACTTAGAGTCTCAGTTATGTTACACGATAGAATAAAAGCTAGAGATGACAGCAGGTCCATTTAAAGAAGCATATGATTTGACATCTTTTACAATCAGAAGAGAAATCCGAGTAGAGACCTCTCCCAAATAGTCCTAACTCTGTTAAAAAGATCAAATGTACAAAATATAATGCTTGGAAAGTTTATATTCTCTCTGAATCTCCCTTATGATGCTGAGAAAATAAAATGAATTCATATTGCTATGAAATTCTATTTTTGCCACTGGTGACATCTGAAGCTTTACTGATTAAGAAGACTACAAAATCCTCATCCTAGTCCTCATTTCCAACATGGAGGTTAACATCCCAGTCAAGTAACACAGCAATAATCTCTCTTCCACTGAGAATACTTTTATTCACAAGGCAAAAATTGGAGTTAGACTTTTAGGTAGTGGGAAAGGCACTCGCAAAGTGAGCAAATCTATTTTTGCTCACAGAACTAATTTAATGTTTAAGTGCAACAAAAACACTAAATTAGCCATGAAGATCATGCATATCCAACGGCTTTCACCAGACATGACTGTGACCCAGGCCTCTAAATACAGAAATATTTCAGTCCTAAGGAGTCAGCTCTATTATTTTCTGCTTCACCAGATGATGTTTCCTTTTGACCAGCCATAGAAATATAATTTCCATTATAATAATTAAACATTTATTAAAATACTATTTATTTGTGAGTTAATATATTGTCTCTTTCAGTAATAAAATATGGAATACTCTTTTTATCTATGTTATTTAGACCTCAACTTAAAAGGAAAAACATTCATGCTGAAAATAGATCAATGTACAGCACTAGGTCAGAAATAGCATCGCTTGATTAAAACCCCGGGAACTTGCTGTGAGACTGTACATTGATTAACAATTCACTTTTTCCTTTCATCCACATATTCCATTTTCAACATCTGGCAGTGAGTGGAATACAAACCCGGATTAGCTGATACTGAAGCAAATCTAGCAGCCTCAGCACATCTGTGACAGTCCATCCTTCTGGCAGACTCTTGGTATTTGTCTTTCAGAGCCAGAGTGCTCTGTGTCTTGGGGCAGCACCATTTCTTGCACATGCAGGGCACAGTAGAACGTCACATTGCAATCCTGGGTGTTTCATGCCTGGTACTTCATGCAGTGTCCTCCTGCAGGTCTCCATGTCTCTCTCAATGAGGCATATGCACACATTTCCAAACAAATAGGCTGTGTTTTCAAGTAGATATTAAATATGAAATATAGCAGAATACAATGTTGTTAAAAGAAACAGCTAACATAGCCAAAAGAAAAATTTCAGTTAAAAGTATGATGCTCTGAATAAGAGATGTTAATGTTTTAACTTATTAAATCTTAACTGTTTGCATTAACATTTGGGCTATTTATTTTGTCACGAATATCCTTCTCTTTATGCACAAACAGGAAAGCAAGCACATGGACAAAAAGTCGAAGGCTGAACTTGAACTTTACATTGTTATGGACTGTCCATGTGCACTGCTGTGTACTTTTAGATAGTAATGGAAAGGATACATACCTGCAGTCGTCCCCTCCGGCACTGACCACATATCTATCTCCACTTGTAAATCGAATATTAGTTAAATGGGCAGAGTGACCTAAAAATCGTTTGTGTTTTGCCTGAAAAAAAAAACCACGAACAACAACAGAATGAGTCTAAATATTCTATGCCTTCCTAAATCAAACAAGGCATGCATGGTTTTAATGAACCTTTCTATTGAATCACATATTTATATCATTCAGAAGTTACAGAGGTTATCAAATGTGAAAGATCTCCTGAAGGAGAACTACACTGAGCTGCAATGCAGAGGGAATTGTCACCAAATGAGAGAGCACTGGTAAATTGGGAACAATGATCAAGTTGACACAATACCATGAAATACATCTTGTCATATGATTAACTTCTAAGTTTTGTGTAAAATTCTTAACAGTGAAAAAAAAAAATCATTGTAATTTTGTTAGCAGTTTACACTGTGCAGTTTCAAATCTTGAAAATTAAGAGTGAAAGCAAATTAAAAAATCATTATCAATTAAAATTATAAAAACAGTGATACAAACTGACAACGTCAGTAAAAAATAGGTAAACCCTTCATCTGTGGAGATACACAGATGCGACTAAAATCACCAGCTGTCTTCCTCATCAGTCAAAAGGATCAGAGATGTGGAAACTACTAAGAGCTTTGAGATTTTCAGTATGAAGGCCCTATGCTAATGCAGGTTGGCAGACAATATCTGCATATACAAGAGGTTATTGCAAGAGCACTTGCACAAAATGGTAGGAAAACTCTGAGGTGAAACATGCTTACAAGACTATGGAGCTAAAGTTACATTAAAAAGCTACAAATTTAGAGAAGAAAATATTTCAATCATATGTCTTCTAGACAAACGAGACAAGACCATAATATCAACAGTACTTGTTGCTGTAACCGTGCAAAAACAAGTTCTTACAAATTTTTCAGGACATGGAAAGTCAAACAGTTTGACCATGCCAAAATCATCGCCTGTTACAAGATTGATTCCCGAGTGAGAGACACAAGCACAGTTTACATCAGCTTTTTCAGCATGCCTGGACCAGATTCCAATTACTTCATCCCCAAGAACACTGAAACAGAACAGCAAAGAGATTCTTTTGAAAATCACAGCAAAAACAATAGAGTAACAAAATGGAAAGCTGCTCTCATACTGTAACTACTTCCATAAAAATGCAATTTTGACATTTCATTCCCACACATACATGACTTGTGTAAGTTTTATTCTGTAATTAATTTTTTATCATTCTATAATTGTTTCTGAAACTGATTCAGTGATATAATTCCCAAAATAATGTGGTCCATGCCAACATTAAGAAGCAGAAGAGAAATCAATAGTACTAATATTGTCCAGTGAGGCATTCAGCAAAAGAGAAAAAAAAGAAAAAAATAATAAAGAAAGGACAATAGAAATAGAATGGTATAGCAAAAGCATTAGATGAATAAGTTTCAGCTTTTGGAAAATAAAAAAATTTATATTCTCGTTATAACTATGTTCTATTGATTCTGTAACTTTTTCATATCAATTAAAAGTTTCTCTGAGTCCAGTGAAGATTTAATTATTTTAAGATTCCAGAAAATTGCTTTTTCAAAGCCTTATAAAAAGGCTTTTATTCAACTCTCCTTACCATGTATATGCATACTTCCACGAATGCACAGAAACAACCAATCTATCATTTGTTAATAGGTGAATGATTTGGGAAATTTTCTGTGATTCTTTCCCCTCAATTCAGACCACAGTACATTACATTCAGAAAGGTATGATTTACATCAGACATGCTGAATTGGGTCAGAAAATACCAGTTTCTTGTTTTTTTATCAAAGAGGTGACCAAAATGGATTACCCGAACAAAAACCAGAAATCTAGCAAAATGAGTCTTTCAGAGCCCTCTAAATGCTTACAATTTTAGTTATGTCTTGCAGCAAATAGTCAGGATTATTATTGTTTAAAGTGGTTAATATGTGGAAAACTTTCAAGTATTTATTCTCAGTTTTTGTCTGGGGTGATAATTAGAGGACAATTTCTGAAAGCAGGCAAAGGAGACTGAAATAAGGCTGAGACTGAAATCTGAAAAAGTCAGATTTGCATAGAATAGAAAACAAATTATTTAAATTTTAATTAAAAATAAGATATGGTATAATTCTTCATGTAATATCTTGAAAGAAATATAATATTTTAATGCATTTAAAAGTACTTTTGCATGCCTTTTAATATGCAAATGTTAATAGTAACTTTATTATACAGATATGATTAGTCTAATATTATAAATAAACTTGAATTTGTCTTTTCAAGTTTTCATACATACTCTCATCACTATTTTGAAGTAAATACTGCAGTATTCCAGATAATTTGCACAGTGCAATGAAAACACTACTGAGGTTGCAAGGGTTGCACCAAAGCAGCTTGAGATACCCAGAGAGCAGAGAGGCACCTTGTGAGAGATCAGTTTTTATCATCCTCACTGGTCAGACAGCTGATGTCTGACGAGGGAATCTGCTGTGTGCTGCCTTTTGCTGTGCTGCTGATCCGTTGCCAGAGCAGATGTGTGTGTTAAAAGAAAACAACTGACTGAATTAAGGGATGAAATACACTTTTAAACAGTAGGTGCTTCTTCTGGGAGTTACAAGTGTTTTAACAGGTGTAAATATGTGAATCATTTACCTTGTCCAAGTAGCCCACGTTATTCTGTCAATCACAGCCTGGTCCACAAGCTGTTTTCCTGAAGGCACTTCATACACTTGCCTTTTGTAAGACCCCGTAGAGACCTTTGAGATGACCACAGAGAATTTAGAATAGATTAACTTCATTCGAAAGATGGAAGTATAAATCTAAAGGGCTTTGAAAAGCATTTTCTTGACAGTTATCTCTTACTCCATAAAGTAACTTAGCTATTAAGAAAACTTGGTCAGTGAGTTGGAAATTCTCAAAAATCCATACAAGCATAAAGCAACAGTGAGAAAGCATATGAAATCTTAATATTTAAATGTCTAATTAATAAAAAACAATTGAAACATCTCACATTCTGCACATATTAATTTTCTCTATACATTGTGTACTAGTGTGTGTGTACAATCAAATAAGGCAAAATAATTTCCTGTAATTAAAACTGATGCAAAAGCATTCCTCTTTTGATTTTGATTCCTCTGCTGATTTGTTGATGAGAGAAGCTTACTTTTCCTCTCAGATGTGAGTAAAATATAGAAAGCTAACTATACAGACTTTATTTTGATTTTGAAAACTTTCTTGAGCCCTCCTATGGTTGGGAGTTGCAACACCATGATTTTGGTGCCACTCCACAAAGGCCAGCACTAAAATGACTTGTAATGCCATCATTGGCATTACCGTGGTCAGAGTATAATGGTCAGAGCCCAGGGCCCTGCCTGGGCCCTGCAGAATGACAGACTGTACTTCTTCCTCTTTTAAGATGGTCCATCAGCATAAGAGCTAAAAAAGCAAGGAGACACAGTGATCTTGAACTATGTTTCTCATTTCTATGCTTATTTCTTGTATTTAATCTCCAGGAAAACTATTGAAAATTAAAGGCATCCACTTATCACTACAACAAAGTAACAGTATAGTGACAGCAACATATTATCAACATTTAGTTACAAAACTTAGAAGTAGTCAAAGGAGAACACCTGCAGAGCATCTGTCATGAGTTTTTCATTCAGTACCTTGAACAATTAATGACTGATACCTGGAGATAAGAGCTGTCAGCAGAGAAGTCCATCTGGATCACAAAACTTGGGATATCTTTGCAATAGCTGATTCGATTTAGTGTGGGACCCAAAGTCAGATCATAAAAATCCACTGCATTCTCACTGGAACCAACTGCTAAGTATCGGGAATCTGGGCTAAACCTGAACAGATAAAAGGGTTTTATGAACACACGTCGGCACTTACAACAGATTCTAACATTTGAGAAGCACAGGTAAATTTGCATTTCAAGTATCTGCTATCCAGAACTAGAGGGAGGCAGAGTATTTAGTCTGCTAAGTACAATAACTTTTTAAATGAAATTTTCAGGGAATGCATATCCAGTCGAAAGTGGCAATAATTTTGGTACAGATGACACATATAAGAGAACTGGGAACATCTCTTGAGTACTTCTGTTCATTACCTGACATCATGGCCATCTTAATGGTCTAAAAACTTATGACATGCCCCTGAAGATTTTGACTCTCTGATGCTAAACTTACAAGGTTACGAGCTAGAAAAATTAAATGGTGTAAATGAAGAAAAGCCAGAGGTTCTATATGAAATGTCCTGAAAAGATGTGAAATCAGATCTTCTGTCTGCCCAGTGTATCTTCACACAGTGGTTTCTTTCCTCCGGCTTTCCTTTCTAGCCTTCAATAGCTTCCTGAGCTGAAAAAATTCCTCACAGTCCCTTTTGTGTTACTAGGAAGTTTCTTTAATTCTATTCTCTCTGAAATGTATCTTGGGATAGCTTTCTGATTCCAACAACCCTCTAACTCCCACAAGGTCTCTGTTTGCTCACATTTCTCTCTAATCTCACTTTGCTCTCCAAAAGCTTTCCTTAGGTGATCACGACCAGTTCATCTCACGGAAAAAACATCTTGTCCTCCACTCAGGAAATGGGCAAATTTTACTTCTAACTCCTTTCTAACAAACACAACAAAGAGCAAACTGACAGAAAGGCATTTCCATTATCTCTCACAATCCAGTCTTAGTCTCTAAATTTCTGATTTCATTTTACCTCCAACACACATATTTTACCTCAAGCATGCCAAACACACTACACAGCTTGATGTCGTTGGCAAAGGTGCTGAGATTGCACTCAACCCTACTGTCCACTCTGCCAAGAAAGATGTTAAACAACAACAGCCCCAATGCCAGCCACTGAGGAACATCACCCATCACTGGTGCCCATTCTATCAGTCTTTTTGACCGATAACTCTCTCTCATAGTCATGTGCCTCCTCCTTCCTTTTTATCCCTGGTATCAGAGTAATCACAAAAGCCCCACAATTCGCTCATTGATTCCAGCTCTCTGAAATATCACTGCAATGCTCCTCAGAACACAAAACAGTATTTTTAAAACTCAAAATATTAGAGATTTCTAGCATACTGCAATAGACAAAGGGATTATATTTTCTGACCTGATATCTTGAATCGCTGATCTTCTGTCCCTTTTTTTCCCCCAAATTTTTAGAGAGGTCACAAGCAAGATAATAAATTCTCCATTTTTCATGCCAATAGCTACCATATCACCTTCTGGGCTGTAACAAACAGTACGAGCTGCATGTCCTAAGCTGACTTTGTTTAGCATCTTCTGTGAAGAAACAAAACCCCAAAATAATATCTGTTATTATTTGTCCATATTTTAAAAGCACCTTACACTAATAGTTTGTTAACATGTATCAGATGGATTATTCTCACAATACATTAAAAAACAAGTTTCAAGTCTGCAACACCATCATAAGCCTTTTTTTTTTTTTTTTTTAAACAACTACCTACCTTTTCAACAATATCCCAGAGTCTTACTGTGCCATCTTCTGCAGCAGAAAGGAAAAAATCTCTGGATGGATGCGTGGCTAGGCCCCAGATTGGTCCATCCATATGACCATTAATTAAAATGTTACATGCAGCATTTTTCTCTCCAACTTCAATTATTTCAGCATTTCTTGTCCCAACGAGAATTTTCCCCTTGAACAAGAGTGAAGAAATTATCTCTGGTGTAATATATTAACCACTCGTGATGAACAGTAATAAAGATATAATCTAGAGTTATAGTTCTGTCGAGAAAATTTGCTTAAATTACATTCTTAAATAATTACTTTATTTTTTAAACTCCTCTGATTTACTGAAGTACAAAGCTGTATAGAAATCACGATGCTAGTTGAGTTATTGCTTGTAATATGATACTTGATTTTTGATATCTGAAGTGCAAAAATAGAAAAGAAATAATGTCTTTAATAAAAATATATATGAATATTATCCTAAGTAAGACTGACATCTCACAAAGTAGATGTTGTTGTGCTGCAATATCATTGTAGACACCTTCTAATTAAAGCTTTAATTTTAAATAGTAATTATAAGAAAAAGTAGAAGTCATTTATCTGTTATTTACAAAACAACCTACAAATTATAAGCTTTATTTTACCAACAGGAGGCTTTCTTTACCTTTCCTCTGCAAACAGAACGAACACAGTCTGTCATTTGTCCTGTCTCTAGTCTGAAGGCACGACATCTTTTTAGCTCTTGATCCCATAGCTTAACTGCTCCTCCTTCCTTTGAACTATGAAGACATCAGGAAAAACCATGAGTATAATGGCTGGCACAACAAAGACAATAATTATATAAGAAAAAACTATGTTATTTAACATAATATATTGCAAATGAGGCATTTTAAATTTTTTTTTACTGAACAGCTGAGTTAATATGCTGAGCCTCCTAACTAAGGAAGACATTCTGATTCCAAGTTCTTACTGTACTACTTTACAGAACAAGTTGAGAGATGGGCGCTGCTCAGATTAATCTGAATGAGTTGCCCTGAGGGAATTTGTCTAGTCATAAGAACAGTTAAGTGAGTGAACAAAGTACCATCCCAATAATAACACAGGCAGAGATTATCAAAATATAGTTGAGGAAAACAGGAACGATATGTATTTTTCTTCTGGGAAATAAAAGACAGAAGATTTTCACTTTTGCGAAAATGTCACTATTTTCATTGGTATGAAATAAACGACAAAGATACAGCAGAAAAAACACACATTAATTGCACAAGACACCCAACTAGTAAGTATTAATTGTGCAAACACTAAGCATTTCCCACCCACTTGCAAAAAAACTTGGTATTTCAGTAAAGAACACATTCAAATAAAAAAGTTTCTGAAAAAGGATAATGTTTACTGAATCAGTTATAAATCTGGCATTTCCAGTTGAGGTGGAACATGTCTTATGTGTCTTCGCAGAGGAAAGAATCTCCCCTAACAGACACAAAATACAATGTTCCACAATATTGGCTGCCTGTGTTACAACTCTGATTACTGAATGAACCCTGAAAAAGAACTTCAGAAAGTTTAATTAGAATTACTGGGTTTGTACTATTATTATGAAAAGAACTGTAATGAATTATTAATTCATACTCCTTACAATAGAATATTCTTTGCTTCTCACTAGCGCTGTTCTGACATATGACTGGTCATCATACTCAGCAAAAGGATTTTACCAAAACAGGTGGATGAACTGCAACTAAGAATGCCAAGGCAGAAGCAAGGATGCAATCTTCCTACACGAGAATTTTTTTTGCATTCTGCCAATACTTCATTTTCCCACAGGAGATGAATGCTTGATTCTTACTGGTTTTTATTACTATTTCTTTCAGATCAAATACTAAAAATTAGAAGTCTCTGAAGACAAGTAGTAGAGAGAACATCCTCTAAATAAATTTACAACAATGTTTACAAATACTAAAAGAAAGTATTTCAAACAAAGGAATAAGTAAGATTTCACCTGTGTCTGAAAAGATAGTAAGTGGCCTGTGTCCTGCAAAAGGGGGCACTATCATGTCATCAGATGGACCATATTACAGCTGAAGCATTTTTTTTTCTTTTATCATTAACAAGGTACTAAAAAAAAAAATTAAAATGCTTGAGGAGATAATTTGTTTACAGCCCCAGAAAAAAATGATCTTGTTGCACCTTAGATTTAAAAGAAGACAGCTTGCCTCTGCCATCATAACTAAGCATGTCTTTCCTTTGAAAGAAGTTGCGCACTATGCTGTAAAATTTATCACTCATTTATTTAATCAGAATTGTGTAAATTACTGGAGTTAACAGCCTCAGTACATTTTCCAAAAAAAAAGTAACCCTCAAGAATTAGTTAACTTCTTAGTGCCTAAAGTTAAATGGAGGTTGGAGCTAGAGAATATTTAAGGTCCCTTCCAATGCTAACCATTCTATGATTCTAAATTTCAAACTAAATCTTTTTGCCTCCTCTCATAAATAATCCTCTGATAAATAGTGCTGAACCATTTAGTAACATAAGGTGATTTCAAGGCTACTTTTGTTTATAATAGTTCAGTCCTTTTCAGTTTAAGGAGGTAGAACTGTATTATCTCTTTGATAATTGTGTATTTGTACTAGGAAAAACATTACCTGACTGATTAATGCAGTATAACTGATAATGCAGTATTACTAATAACCCATTCACATAATTTATTTTACCCTTGCCTATTATTTTTAAACAAAATAGTGTAAAGTCAGCGTAAAGTGCCTGAAGAAGCCTGCACATATGCTTCAGAAAGATGACTATTATCGAGAAGTTAAAGTTATGAAGAACTACTTGTACAGCATTTAGAGTTTGATTCATGCCCCTTGGCTTTAGGTAATTAGGCACGGCACCCTTGTCAGGGGCTGGAGCTTAAGAGGATCTTAGCAACGCTAAGCTTTCTCTTATAATCAATGAGAAAAAACAGGTAGTTGAAGCTCATATGGGGTTAACCTGCACTTTGGATGTGGTGGCTACTCTTTTTTCTAAACCTGGTCAGAGATCCGAAAAGGAACTACTCTTCTAGCTCTGATGTCTCAGCTGCCTAGTGTTAGATGGGATGAATCCAAACCATTTTTAAAGAGTACATGTGCGTGAACTAAAAAAAGAAGAAGGAAGACTCACGGCCTTTCTTTGCCTCCTGTAACAATCAAACCATCTCTTAATGTGGTGTACATTGTGAAAACAGGTCCGTTGTGAGCTTTGGCCACAATTCGTATCAACACATGATCTTTCCAAACACAAACATCTCCACTGATTGTACCTGTAAATGTCAAGTTATTCTGAAAAGGGGAAAAATATACTTATCATCCAATTCTGAGTAAAGCAGGAAGAAAAACATTCAGAAATAAAGATCATCACCATTTGCACCAAAGGCTAAATTGCTTTTATTTGCTGCTGTAGAAGAAGAAACTGTAGAAGAAGCAATAAGAACTCTAGAGACAAAACTGAGCTACTATATTCCTTCTTGAAGACAAACATGCTCTGCACCGCAAGAAGAAATACAGCAACTTAAGTTTCAGTAGCATGGTTATCTGTGCTTTCAGCCTATCAAGAGTGCAACTTGTAGTAAAACAGTAGAAAATCACAGTAAGTATTGACATTTCACACAAACAGGCAATTTGCATCCCCTTGCTATGTCCATTACACTTGCAGTAATTTTTGTGATTAGGTGAAGATACCCACTGGATTACAGTATCCATTAGTTTAGGAAGAAAACAGTTTAACTTAAAACTAAAATCTGCCTCTTCTTCTTAAATTCTGCTTCCTGTTCTTGAAAGGTAATAAAAATAATTTTAATTGCAATTTATTAGGATACACTTAAAACCAACAGGAACTCGTTATTGAGCAAAACTGTTTCAGTAACTTACATGAACAGTCCTCAAATTCAGCATCATGTGTAGTAGTTCAGAGTATCATTATGCATTACTGATATGGCATGAATACTTTCTTTAACTGAAGTGGGTTGATGTTCTGCATTCTTTTTTTTAAGAAGTGTGTGTGTGTGCCTGTGTATCTAATAAAATAAAAGAGGATCAGAAATGCACTTGAGAGCAAATCCTCTGATTATCCTCACAGCATTTCTGTTAGGCCCTTTCCAGCTTCTGTTTAGGGACACGTGAACTAGCTCCTTCTGAGACCAAATCAAGAGGAGCACTCCCAGAACTGCTCCCTTCATGAAATACAGAGAACTCACTGGGTTTGGCTTTATTCAGTTTGCACAGCATTTCACAAAACCCCTGCACACTCTGCATCCTCAAACAACCTCATACCAAACCCCAGGCCATTTAGCATACAGCCTGATTCTCACACTAAGAATCTGTCTCTCCATAAGAAAGTACACAGAGGTTTCCCAAACCCCTTACTAATTCCTGAGTTGTGCATCAGTAACAGTTATTATTTGGAAACCATCTTGTTTCTTTCCAAGACCCTCTTTTAAATCAGACAGAAAGCCCTGTGGAAAAGATATAGTGTCATGAAAAAATGAAACCACAGTTACAGTTTCAAAAAGAGAAATCGATGGTGTTAATTCAGTCTGGACCAAACAGGCAGATCACTAAACAGGACAGGGAAGCACACAAGGAAAACAAAGCACCACTTCCCAAAAGAAATTTGTGGCCTTCTGCTTAGCTGAAGAGATGAGTGCTGCTCATACAGAGTGACTCCTGAAACAGCAGTGCCATGGAACTTAGCAACAAGGCCTGCACATGTCAAAAAAACCCCAAAGCAAAACAATACCCTACTGTGGTTGTCTAACAGTGTCTAACAGTCACAGACGTTAACAAATGCCCCAGGGCAACGCTGCTCTCTGATCACCCATGAGCAGTAATATACACAGATTATAATAGAATCACCTCCAGGTGGGCATAAAATTAGTCTCATTTCTACTGTTTGGTTCCTGAAGTCTAGACTCAGTTTTGTTTTACTTGGATTCAATACCAAGCAGCTTTTTATCAGCCCAAAGCACCTATATTTGTTTCTCTTGAAAACATACAAATCCATAATCTTCTTTTCTTTTCTGTTCTAAAGAAAGCTGGTATTAATTCTAATTAGCAGGCAGGTATTAGAAATGCTAAACTGAGTTTAATAAAACAACTGACATAGTCATTACCAGGTTAGAAAAGTCTCACTGAACTGAATAAAGGCAGAAGGATAAAAACATTTTTGTTTGTATGCATTTTCAAGTAGTTTGATGAAGTACATACCGCTCCAAAAGCTACAGATAGCATTGTCTGCATGCGGGCATCTTCTATGGAGCTCAGCAGCCCTTTTTTACTGAGAAGAGCTCTTCCAGCCAGTGTCCAGAACCTCACATGTTTTACTCCCACAGAAACAAACTGGGTATCTGAATCTGGTCTGAATTCTGCTACAAATATACGCTGGTTATGTCCAGCTCTGCTGGCAATTTTGGCACCTGGCAGAAAAAAAATGAACATTTTGAACTAGCTGAGAAAAATACCATTTCCAGTAAAAAATGTTAAAATCATTCTAACCAATATGCAGATTTCTTAGTTGCCATTTTAAATCTGTATCAACTCTTAAGATGAGAGCATGAGATGAGCATGTTCTGATTGAAATGGCAGTGAATGTTGCATGGGTTTTTACCACACACCCTTCATCCTACCTAAGATTGTATAGATACACCTGATACTGTGTCCATCTCTACAGCATCATTAGATGTCACTAGACAAGCTGTGAAAGATCACTTTATATTAACTTGATAGCTGATCTCTAAACTTCTGAGAGTTACTAGTTGATCAACAGAAATCCCCAAAGAGAGAAGTAAACCCCAAAGACCAGAGAATCAGAATCAAATTCATAATCTGGGCATGGCTTCGTCAGATAGAAAGATGAGAAAGGAGTTCACCAAACCGCTTTAGCCTGAATCCTGAACACAGATCAAAGATGATCTGAAAACATGTAGTATAGCTTAAGACACCAATTACGTAAGATGCATAGAGGAGCTGTACTGGCACCACACTTCTGCAATTTGTAATTTTGGGGAACAATTTTATAACAACCTAGTCAGTAATCAGACTATAGAGAAGAATAAGAACAGAGAAGAATGAAGTAATAATAATAATAATAATAATAATAATAATAATAATAATAATAATAATGAAAACTACATTTTTCTTTATTCTGGCTGAAAATCAGTGAACTATCTTGATCTTAACACAATAATGTCAAAGGATATATATTAGGCAGTTACTAGAATGGGTAAATACATTTATTTAGCTCTTGTTGTACAGAGCATAGCGCACAGCATTTATTGTAATAATTTTTGATCTTCTGATATTTTAATGTTACAATTGCTCTTGACTCAAGCCAACATACCTCTAAAAATACAAACACATTCTACAAAATCAATCACTTTCCTACCTTCCTGCCACTTCCAAATGGTAATGGTATGTTCAGGATCCAGCCCCACGGACAGCAGCAGTTTGCCAGTGGCACTGAAACTGACCGAGCAAACGCCCTTTGAATGGTAGCACCGCAGTACTGACAGTGTCTGTTTGTTCATCGCATCCCACACATGGATAGAAGGAGCTGTAGCTACACAAATATAAAAACATATCATTGGTATATATTTTGAAAATGTCTTATAATTTTAAAGTCAAACAGTTAATATTTTTTAGTAAGACAAATAAAATTGTTGTGACCAGACAAGGAAAAAAAGAAAGAAAAGAAAGGAGATTTTGGCCTCCCTTTGGAAACCAATTTATGTTAAACAGGATCACTAGGTAGAACAAACAAGTTCTCGTATTACCAGAGGTGAAAACTTTGCTTAATGTGTTATGGAACTTGTGAAGTACAGAAGAAGTTCTGACAGCCAGCTGTCTTGTCCTGGTTTTTTCTTCTAGTAAAACTTAGATCAGCACGGTAACTCAAAAAACTCCATAAATATTGAGTGGCTTATCAAGAACGTAATTTCTACGGGGGCTTTTGGACCACTGATAGCTACAGAGAAATTAGTTTACAGTGAAAGGCCAAAATCTTCTTTCTACAAAATGGTCATCTGTCTGAAATGCATGCCCTCTTAGGAGAGTGTCAGCTCAATCATCATCCTGCTTAGTGATGTACAAGAATTAGGGTATTTAGTTTGCATCATTTGGACTGCAAGCTCTTTGCAGTAAAAACTGTCTTTCCATGTTACTAATGTATGTGATTATTTCTACCATAATGACAGCTAGGTTTTTCCCAAATGCAATGTCTTCTCAAAAGACCTTGCAATCCACACATAGTTTGCAAACTCTGAACAGTATCTAGGGCATTTCCAGGACAGTAAGATTATCAAACTTCTTCTGATCTCTAGTAAATTTGACTGCAGAGTCTGGAGGTTATAGGTTCTTGTCACAAACCTAGGTGCACATAAACTAAATTCTATTTCAGCTTCATCCTTTGTGTTTTTAATCAGCTAAATCTAGGTCCTCAAAGGCACGCACATGATGGGAAACAGTAAGCACAGAGACCTAGGCAAAATTTTAGTCCCATGAAGCACAGTTCTTGAGCGCAATCTCACACCTGTTCCAAACCAGTCTTTGGAAAAATCTTTCTAATTTCTTTTCTTTCACATTGGAATTTCCCCTCATGGCAGCAATACGGTGTCATCATTACCTCTTGAAATGTATTACAGCATAGTATGGACATGCCATTAAAACAGAAAGGACAGGGGTTGACAACAACTGACACATCCCAAAATTTTCAGCAAACTCCTTGCTGTCCTTACAGGAAGCTGAGGGAAGAGAAAGCTTTATTATGGTTCTGAACTGGTTTTTTTTCTCTTCAGCACTCCCCTTGGTAAAACTCTGTATTGTCCTTGACCTCTGCATGTACCCTACAACCTTGGTCAGAATTTTCCTTTTGGGTGGCAGACAGAAAATTTCATCTAGATTTCCTGAATAAGAACTGACAAAATCTTTCAGAACAAGATTTGCAGGTCAGAGAACATGGACTCTGGGGTCCTCCTACTTGATGAAATTTGTCTGAATGTCTCTGTCCTGACACTGCACCCCGCTTGTGGAGTACTCAACACTCTCATAGGAGAGCTTTTCTAAGGTGTCATCTACTTCTGGGAGCAGTTAGATAAAGCTACCATAGGCTGCCAGGACAAAAATATCTTCAGCAAGGTGGAGCAAATCTACACCAAGTTATTAGGCTGGAATGGCAAATTGAGTTTCCTATTACAAACACTACTGCTTCAAGAATCCCTGCATCACTGTAGACAACTGAAAATTGGAACTAGAAAAGCAAAAGTTTTTGCTAAGAAAGTTGCCAAGTAGCCATGGATAAGTTTTAAGTGAAACTATCCAACTTTCTAATGAAGGCAGGCAGTAGCTTGGATTCCAGACTAATGGTTCCACAAAGAAGAAAAAAGTAAGAGTGCTCATTTCAGGTCATGACAACAGAATTTAGTTATGTACACAAGCTCAAACTAAAGTTGCCATAGAAAGAAGGTATATGAGACAGGGAAAGTGTCCAGACACCATATGCAGGACCAAAGATGTTCTTTCATATAAATAGCCATATAATCACTGATTTTTTTATACAGGTTAAAAGTGTGGGAAGAGTTCCTCCCATCCTTAGAGCAAGCACAACTTGGCATATTTAAAAGAAGTCAACACACATTAAAGATGTCATTGTACATCTGTTCTTCACAGAACAAGCTTTAGGTCCACATGAAGATTATTATACTTTCTAGTACACATGAACACACATTTATGGTTCTCTGAAGATTCTTCATAAGACAATTATGGGTACTCAACAATGAACTCATTTACACATGATGGTGATGAATTTTTAAGATTACAGTTGAAAGAACAACACGTTAATAAAAAATAGCTCAGTCAAGACTGTCAAACTGTCAAAGGCTCAAGATGATACAGGAAAAAATAAACTGACATCATAACAACATTTTGGATCAGTGGTAGTAACTGCATGACAATTGTACACAAATGTGAAAGGTGATTGGTTTTTTCACTCAGTCACCTAGGCCTCCTCAATGGAATTTACTTTAGAAATGCATATTAAAATTATACTCAATTGAATGTCTAAAGCAAACATTAACTGTCAGCCCCAACATGTCTACAAAATCTGCAAGCATACACAGGAATGCTACAGTAG